CTACGCCTGGTCCTTACGTTCATGATCAGGGTAAATCGCACCTCCCCCTCCCCCACATCAACTCCAAGGGAAGGGAAAGCTTATCCCCTCCTCAGCCTCTCCCCAGGGACAGGGGCGGCACCCACTTTGTGAGCGAGCTGTGACCCCAGATCCCCGAAGGGGATGGGCACTGTCACCGAAGCTTTTGGTCTCTCCTTTTGTCAGGACTAATGCAAGAATGCCAGAGTTAAACCTCCCCACACCAAATCCCGACAGTTCGTGCCCCAAGAGGTAGAGGGCACCGACTGGTCAGTGAGCCAACTCAGAGTGGCCAAGCCATGGGCCTGTGATGGGGTTGGGGGGGGCTCCTCCCCCCAGAGAAAGCCTCGTGGGCCGGTGCACGTCCCTCCTGTTTGCACAGCTCCGGCCCAAACCGTCATGGCTCCGCGCGAGTTCGGGAAAACCGGAGACAAGGCAAGCTCTCCCTCAGCCTTGATCGAGGGGGTCTGTGCCCCTCGCCAAGCAACTGGCATATAACGTCTTCCGCAGCTGGGACGGCCCAGACAGAGCTGTGTAAACGCAACACCAGGTACCCATGGCAAACACAGACAGTGCTGAGGGGCAGGGAGGGGGAGATTGAACAGAGATGACCCTTAAAGGGGTGGGGGGGGGGGGGGAGGAATAGGATACAGTGGGGTCCGGGGAGGGGGGGGGGGGAGAGGATCAAGAGAAATGACAGAAGCTGGGGGAACATGAAAAGGATTTGGGTGCATACAGGGGTGGGGACTACTCAAATAGACCATTTCCAAGGGCCGGCACAGGAGGCCAAATGGCCTGTTCCCCGAGCTTCCTCACCTGAGGGGCTGCGAGGGGAAGGCTGTAAAACTGGACAGAATTTAAACCTCCTGGCCATCTCCTGCAGAGGCAAGGAAGAGACTGCTCTGCTCGGAGAGTTTGCAAGCCTCTGGAACGCTGCGCTGTCACAGTCTGTCTGAGACGGTGAGAATGCCCGGTTTGTGGAGGGGCGGAACGGAGGTGGGCTACCGGCTGGGATCGCCAAGAATGCTGGGATGGGTTAGGGGGCCAAACAGCCTGTCGCCAATTGGTACAATACCACCCAACATCCACACGAGGGAAACGCATTAGATAAAGTACACCTACTGAAACACCCCAACTCTTTCACACTACAGCTCCACCCTCGGGCGACTGGCTGTGTGTGTGGAGTTTGCGCATTCTCCCCGTGTCTATGTGGGTTTCCTCCCACAGTCCAAAGATGTGCAGGTTAGGGTGGGTTGGCCATGGGAAATTGTCCCGTAGTGCCCAGGGATGTGCAGGTTAGGGTGGATTGGCCGTGGGAAATTGTCCCATAGTGCCCAGGGATGTGCAGGTTAGGGTGGGATTGGCCATGGGAAATGCAGGGTTATGGGTTTTTTTTTGGGGGGGAGGGGTGGAGGACGAGGAGTGAGGGTTGGTGCAGATGTGATGGGCCAAACGGCCTCTTTCTGCACTGCAGGGATTCTATGATTAACCCGGAGCTCTGAAAGTCCTGAAATGAAAACTGAAAAACTCCACTCGAGCTGTCCAATTGGAGGGGCTGGATTTATTCCAGTGTCTCCCCTTCCATGGTCCCACCAAGATTGTGGGGTGCTGGGGGTGCGGTGTCGCAAAGATTTCCAAGCCACAAAACAGGTGGGGTGGGAGTTGGGGGTTTGTATACTGGGGTAGGTGGGCCGGCCAACGTTAGATCAGCTGAGAACTGAAAGCTAGTGCATGGTACAGACAGACAGGCATTCTCTCTCTCTCTCACACACACAGACACACACCTCGCCCCTCTTACCTCCCCATCCCCGAGAAACAGTACATTCGGTATTTCGTTAATAGTCTTTATGGCTCAGTTGAGAACACCCCCAGCCCCTCACCCCTCACCCCTCCCCAAGAAAGAAGTCTCTTGAACAATGTGCAGTCTCATTTCCACAGCAGTGCAAGGATGCCCCCACGAGGGGGGTAGTTGTGTGTTTGTGCTGCTTATCCTTCACAGGAAGCCCCTTCCCTCCAGACTTTCTCTCCCACGCACCCCACTGCTCCCCCCCCCCCCCAGAAACTCTTTACCCCATTCCTAAGGCATCGCCTCCTTCGCTCGGTGCCACCTGCGCACGCACGCTGCCTGACCACAGCTTCCCCCCGGACATTCGCTCTCCCCCCTCCCCACCAACCAGCCCACTCTCTCTCGTCAGTCTCTCTCCCTGCCCACCCCGCAATTCTTTCTCCTCCACACCGCAACCGCAACCCCAGCCTCCTCCCGCAACTCCCACTGTTCTCATTTCTGCACAAACAAAAAGAAATGAAAGTGCTCTCGATTGCAAAGCAAGTGTTTGGACCTACGTGTCGGAATCCAACCGGGAATGTCACCCGCCTCCCCTCCACACCTCCCCGCACACCCGCCCCACCTCAACCACCACCTCCCCAGCCCAATAATACATTGTGGCTGTAGGCCTTCGTCTGTCAAGGGTGTCGTGGTCAAACATGTTGTGTTACATGCTAAAGAGATCTTCAAAATCAGCTGAGGGAGAGCAACACCATCGAGGGAGGAGTGGCCTCTGTTCAACCTGACCTGTAAATCCACTTTATCACCGGCTTTGGAGGAAGGCTGTCTGTGGGTCGCCTTCACTGGAGGTGGGGCCAGACGACTCCCCCCCCACCCCACCTCCAATACTTCCAGGCCAGTCCTCCTGTTTTCCTTTGGGCAGGCACGAATCAAATTTAGCGCTACTCTGAAGTCTTCAGACAAACCCTCACTCTATGCTCCCAAATACACTGATTTACTGGTCGAGCGTAACATTCGCACCACATAAATGCTGGGCAATGACCATCTCCAACCCGAGAGAATCTAACCATCACCCGCCCCCCCACCAACCTCCCTTTGACGTTCAATGGCGTTACCATCACTGAATCCCACCCCCACCCCGCCACTATCAACATCCTGGGGGTTACCCATTGAGCAGAAACTGAACCTGGACCCCCAGCCCCATATCAATCCCGTGTCTACAAGGAGCAGGTCGGAGGCTGGGAATCCTGCAGCGAGTAACTCCCCTCCTGACCAACTCTCCCCCACCTCCCCCCCAAAGCCTGTCTCCCCTCACCCTACCATCGACAAGGCACATGTCAGGAGTGCGAGGTGGGGGGACACACGCCCCACTCGCCTGGACGGCGCGCGGCTCCAACAACACTCGAGAAGCTCGACGCTGTCCGGGGACAGAGCAGCACCCCCACTCCCCTCTCCCAACTCGACTGGCACCACATCCACTCCCCCCCACACCCCCGACGCACAGTCGCAGAAGTGTGCACCGTCTACAAGAGGTGCTGCAGAAACTCACCAGAGATCCTCAGGCAGCACCTTCCAAACCCCACCCCCCCACTTCCATCCAGAAGGACAAGGGGCAGCAGATACATGGGAACACCAGCCCCCGCAAGTTCCCCTCCGAGCCCCTCACCGTCCCGACTTGGAAATATATCGGCCGTTCCTTCACTGTGGCTGGGTCAGAATCCCTGGAATTCCCTCCCTGAGGGAGGTCACAACCCACAGCAGGTGGGCTGCAACGGTTCAAGGAGGCAGCTCACCACTACCGCCCACCTTCTCAAGGAGGGGGGGGGACAACTAGGGACGGGGCAATAAATGCTGGGCCCAGCCAGCAACGCTCCCGTCCCACAAAATGAATTTTAAAAACCAAAAACCAACCATCTGATATACTGACTCTCTCCCCTCTTCCACCACGGAGATCTCGGCTAGTATCTCCTGGATGCTGTGTGGGGGGAGCGGTTAGTTTTGACAGGGTGGGGGGGGGGGGGGGGGGGTTTACAGCACAAGCTGCCCGCACAGCACATTGGCAGTGCCTGTCCTAAGCCGTCACTGTCCCCCCACACCGTTACACGCTCTGGGTAACCAGACAAATCCAAACCAAAACACCGCAGATGCCAATAAACCCGAGGCAGAAACAGGAGGAGAGGCGATGGCTGATTGGCTGCTTGGGGGAAGGAGAAGGGGGGTCTCTCTCTCTCTCACTCACCCACAGCTTTTGCTTGCTCCTCACACAATAGGTATGATTTGCCCCCATCCCACCACCAAATCTCTACAGTCCTTGGTCATTACATCTCACAGAGAGGAAGAGAAGGGACACAGAGAGAGAGAGAGAGAGAGAGAGAGAGACAGACAGAGAGGGAGCGAGAGACAGAGAGACTTCGCAAAGTGTTAAGGCTTACAGCGTTCGTTAGTCAGCAAATGTTACTAGATCGCCCTCGCCCCACCCCCAATACCCATTGACGGCAATGCCCGAGGAATTGAGGGGGGGACAAGAGAGACAAAGTGAGAAGACATTGTAGATAGGGGTAAAATAGTTACCCCTATATCACTGACAGTAGAGGGGGGGGGAAGCAAGAATGCCCTTAACAGTTTTTGAAACCCTGGGGGGTGACACTGACCGTTCCTGTGTGTGGGGTGGGGGGGGGGGGGGGGGGGGG